CGGGGGGGGGGGGGGGGAGGAGAAACAGCGTCGTTTAGCGTTTAGCCGAGCTAAAAATACAGGAGCTCCCATCGAACTTTCGCATTGTACATACTTCAGTGGCATCTTCCCTAATAACGACGGCGCGGCTACTCTCTGCGGCTATAGTTTTAATTGCAGGCCACGGGGAGGGAAGTTCAGCGAAGCAGGCATTTTTAATGAGGCGAGTGGTGTACAGAACTTGTGCACTCGAGAAAGTCAATATCGCGCATGTCAGGTGGAATGTGATAAACATCCGATCGACAACTCCCTTTAACGCGAATTCAAATTCAATTGGAGTTTCATAGCTCCGGAGCCTCAAGTCGTACAAGAGATTTCGTCGAACGAACCGATCGCTCCCCTTCGCTCCTTCGCTCCTTCGCCCCTTCCCACCCACCAACCACCATCCCGCCAATTCGCCATTGCGTCGTTGCGCCGGCGATTCAATTTAGCTCGACGAGACTTTCTTTGTTTTTGTTTTTTTTATCGCGAGACCGATTTGGCTCTGCCGCAGAGTAGAGTCGGGGCTGCCCTCGCGCTCCCGCTCTCGAACTTTGCGCCGACGGACGTCGCCCGCGGTGAAACTCGGCTTAACGAAGCCGTCGGCTCTTACGAGTGCGCTCGGGCGATAGGGGCCCGCCCCATTGCCGCTACGAATTATTGAAATTCTTATCGGCGTTCGCGCCGCTCGCGAAATTCAATTTTTCACAAATTTATGGCCAGCTCTAATCGAATCACTAATTCGAAACTTATCTACCGCTGGCTAGATTAAGAAAGCTACGGCCTCGCAATATCGTGAAATATTAAGACGACAAAGTGGAGAAACTTCATCGGATTCTTACCCCAGAGTGACCAGAAGAGATCCCTCCACCCACCCACCCCTACGTATGGCTCGTTCCGGCCGAGCGATACTCGAAAAGCGCCTATAGACACGACCGAGAGCGGCCAAGGAGGACGGGAGGAGCGTCAACCGAGCGGCAAAGGAGAGGAGAACTAATAGCAAAGTCGTCGAGAAAGGGCAAGAGCGGAGGAAGGCCGATGAAAAGGGACAGACTGCACTATCGTGTACACGACCAGTCGAATAAAGTGGCGTTCGTGGAATCGCCGAGCGCGAACGGAGTAACCGGTCGACTCGAGGCAAACAAAAGCCTTCAAACGGAGTCTTCGTCTCTTCTTTTTCTCCTACCTACCCCTCTCTCTCTCCCTCTCTCTCTCTCTCTCTCCCTCTCTCTCTCTCGTACAGCCTCTCCTACCTTACGTCGACCACACTTTGTCCTCATCATCCCTCCCACCGCCATCATCAGTCTCTCTCCACCCCTACTACCCTAACCCGCTCGCTAACTCGCTCTCTCGCTTTCGTTTTCCATCTTCTCTGCACTTACAACTACAAATCTCAATTCCCTGAAGCGTGCTTTTGTTACTCGTTGTATCTCATTTGTATCTAATATTTCTTGAGAAGCAAAAGTAATGGTCTCGAAGAGTTATCATCGAGTTAAAAGAAAATCGTGCCAAAAATGAGATCTAATAGAAATAATGAGTAATCGTCATTTCATTGCAGTGACTTACTAATGATAGTTTTGCTGCAGGTTAGGACTCGTAGAAATAAAAAGTAATTCACCACAATGACGATCAATACAGTCGATATTTCTTTCTCCTTTGCTTCTCAAACATGTAATTAGTCCTCCCCTCCCTCCCCTCCCTCCCCTCCACCCCTCCCTCTCCGTCATCCCTCCCCCTCTCCCATATCTATCTTCTTTTCATTAGAAATGTTAAATTTATTACTCCTCGTATCAAACCTTGTTTTCCCTCAAACGCCTAAGTAACATTTTTGTACAATAACAAAAACTTTCTTTTTGAATTTCAAGTGAGTTTCGCCCGTGATGGAGAGACGCTGCAATTTAAAGTTGCACATAAAATCGATCGATAGACCAATGACTAACCGTGCGATATATTTTTAGCACCTTAATTAAAGTGATACGTCATCGATATAAAAGCAAGTTTCGCAAATTTTTTTTTATTTCAATCAGTGATAAATACTACGTTCGACTATTGATTCGTATAGAAAGTATAGGGCTTAAGTACGCAATTAGTTTTGTAATTTCGGTTTGTGTAATTATATTTTCCACTATTGGGGTGCTTGGCTCTTCTACCGTTCTAATCAACAATTTGATAAAATCATCGTAAAATTGTTGGTTCGATTTTTACAATTTCACAAAGCAAACGTCAATTAATATCACGAACAACCGGTCAATATTTACATAAAGTTGCTACAAATTTTCAGCTGTACAAATGCTTTAAAATTATTTTGACAGTAATTGGAATATAACTTGTTCCGCGCATCTTCTCAAAGTAAACATAAAAGACAAATTATTAAGTCTCGCATGAACAAACATTATTAGAAGTGGATAGTGCACTGATACGTTGATACATGTCGCAGTGATGTGACAGTGAGAGAGTCGGGATATTGCCTTAAACATATTTTCTTTCCTAAACGTAATATCCCTTTTTCTTTCGTGTCCCCCCCCCACTCTCTCACTCACTCACTCTCTCTCTCTCTCACTCTCACTCTCTCTCTCTCACTCTCACTCTCTCTCACTCTCTCTCTCTCTCTCTCTTATATCTTTTTTCATACCCCCGATGAGTATTTCGTCTGCTCCAGACTTCCCGCTCTACTAAAGGCATAAAAAGAAGGTTAAGGAGAGAGGGAGAGAGTGAGAGAGATCATTCGTGCGCGCGAGTAAATGTGTGGAAGAGCGCCCCAGTAAGTAGAGAGGGAAAGGAGATAAAGGGAGGAGAAGACAGCGCGTGAGCGCTGACTCAGACTTAAAGGAACTCGAGAGTCCTGTTGGATAGTGTGTTGCTGACTCGTTCGACCGCCTTCTGTGACTTCTTTCTCCTCTCTCTCTTCTCTCTCTCTCTCT